TTATTCCAAACTAGCAGACCCGGCGAACTTCGTCCCTCCCAAAATTAGCTTTTTTATTGAAACATTTGGTCCAAGTTTTCGCCAGCAATTCACGTTCACGTTTGGTTTTGTGGTCGACAGAAGGCATATCCTTCATTGCCGTCTTAAATAACCTGACGAAAGCGTTATACCGGGAAGAAGTCCTTGTGGCTCGATGGTGAATCGTCCTTGAATCTGCGTAGTACAGTTGGTGACAATTTCTAAACTGGTGAGTCTCATTGGTCCACATTCTGTGTAGTCACCGTAAAGCAAGGACCGCAATGGTTCTGATGGTTGATTTAACAGGAGTAATTTGGCTTTGATCCCTGGTTCCTCCGAATCAACGATTTTCAGCAATAACTCGGCTCCCGCGCACTAAAAATTATCATTAAAAAATTATCATTAAAATCGTTTCGTTTAGGAGGAGCTAAGCAACCAGAATAAGTTTTTTACATACTGACACTCTTCGGCATTTTTTCCCATACAAAAATACTACCACGCGTTCGTTATACGTAGGAAATACGCGACATCATCAGCGAAAAAAATTCTAAAATCAACGGTAACTTATAGCCATTTAAAACTTGAACTTTGTGATACTGAAATTGAGTGGACTACAGAACTGCATACTCAAAATTTGGTGCCATTTGAGAAAAAAATTTATTATGAAAAATAAAAAAACACTGTATTCTGGGTGTACATTAGGGCGGGTCGAAAATTTAATTTTTCTCAAATCCCTTGGTAATAGTGAAAATATATTGTATCATGAAGTCAACAGCAAGCCTGCAAAATATTAGTATTTTATTTTAGTTGTAAGAGCCCGCGCAAAAAGTTTTGGTGCATATTATTAGATAATGAATCCGTTTACCCAAAAGAAAAAGTCAAATTTCATTTCCCCCAGCTCTTTAGCTTACCGTTAATCTCAAAGTGATCTGTTTTCAATAAAATTTGAATTGTTCTCTTGCTAATTGCACTGGTCTAGAGTCAAAACATGTAAAGAACAGCATTAATATTGCTAGCGTGCATTTTAACTAGCGATTAGTTCCAAATATTTTAGTCTTTTTTTAATATTAGCTATAATATGGGAATTTTCGCAAATTTAGGAACAATTTCGGTAACTCTAATAGAAAATCCATTATTTTCCATCATCGTGGAAAGATTTTGTTTACGCAAATGAGTATGGAAACACTGAATAGGCACAACTTCTAGAAACACTAATTAGTTTACTTATGTTTAGGCATACAATATAAAAATTGCAAATATAAAAAAATGACAGTAACATTAAGTCTCGCCTTCAATTTGGTGATTACTACGTACCGATCGAGTAACATTTACCAAAGTTATATCGAAAAACTTAGGTGGAGCTCCAGTTTTTTTTCTAAAAAAATGTCTCTTCAATTGTATAAATAACTTTTAAATGATAGAACCGGATTACAGAAGAGTGTGCCAGGGAGTGACTTTTTTCGTTCAAGCTAAATGCAAAGCAATATCGTCCAATTGGAGAGTCCTCAAAAGGATTTCCCAGGATATGTTAAAGACTATTGCATTTACCTACATTCACTTTTTCACATAATGGAATTAACTAAAATATTTATGTATATCTAAACACTTCTTGGACGTCCCCTACTTTCATATAACGGCAGATTTAGAAACCGCACAAAATTTTCAAGACTGCATAAATGGATAAATGGATGTTATTGTATGTAAATACTTATATGCATGAAACTACTATTAGCTTATCAAACGATTCCTAATCTTTCAAAATACATGTTTAACTTCATTCACCACAATCTGAAAACTGACAAAATCTAAATATAAACATCCGAAAACATTAAAACGTTTGAAATAAATCTCGTCTCACTTTTTTGAATTTTTCACATGGTTGCTGAAGTAATGAAGAATTGAGAATTCATAAGGGAAAATTATAGTTTTTGTAAGTTTTATCTTAATGTCTTAAAAACTTGTAGACTTATTGAAAAATGATAAATGAACGTGGGATACTAAATTCAATAACCCTTAATTTGATATATCGTCCTGTTTAGAACAACTAACGCATTGCATAGATATTACAAGCCAAAGTTTAATTTTAAAAATGCATACACTTTGATTCAATTGCGCGGACTAAAGATAAGTTTTAAATTAATCTTTCGTGGCCAATAATAATTCGCTTAGACCTAAGACATCATAATATCAATACAAAAGCCTTTTATCTTCCCCCATACAAAATCGACCCAGCCTAGTGTATATATTTACAGATACCTATCTAAAAATTCAATATGTTTGGAAAGCGCCACGTCCCTTTTCCAGTAGGCCCAAAATCTCTATACCAATTTCCAGGACACTACCGCAAATACTTCCAGAGAAATACGGTATGAACAATTCGATATGTATGGGTGATGCCACGCTCATTAATATATCGAAAGTCTGCAGTAGGTGTCCAAAATTTCAAAAAATCGGTACAGCCGTTCGCGAGATCACCTCCTAGTGTATGTAGTGTTGATAGGCGTTTTGGTGCTGATTACGGATTCATAAAAAATAGAACTTTGTGCACTCTTCTTCTAAACACCTTTCCAAAAAAGCAGCACCCATTCGAAACGGTTATGAAACATAGGAGAAAATGTTCCAAATTGATTCATACTCCCAATGAATTTAACAATTATCCGAAAATTTCCAAGCTTTCGTCGAAAAAAATTCAAATTTTTCGCGTTCTTCCGGATTTTTCCGGGTTTTCCCCTTAGAATTTTCTATTTTTCCATTCGAATGCCATTCCGAAGGAATTGCACACAAAATTCCATACTAAAAAATTAATTTTCGCTTTTTCCAATTTTCCGATTTTCCCGGAGGGTTTTCCTTCTCCAAGCTATTACGAACAACTAAAAAAAAGTTTAGCCAAATCTGCCGTTCTCAATTGACGAATTAATATAAATTTTTCACACCATTTTTATATATATAGATTGATATATACAATCGCTCCTTAGCAAAAAAGTGGTTTTTCAAGAGATTTTAGGAAAATGGGGCTGGCACCGCCCACTTATGTGATATATGCGTATCTCAAAAACTACTTGACCGATCTCGACCAAATTTGGTATACACATTGTGCTTAGACTCCTCAAGTATTGAATATTTTTAAAATCGGAAAACCCTACTCCTAAAATATAGCTAGCTTTGAATTCTTTCAAATTACCGTTACGTTAGTGGAGCCCGTGGTTTTTGTCCGATCTCAAAGCGCAATGTGTTGGTTGAGATCGGTCAAGTAATTTTTGAGATACACATATGGGTGTTTCCAGCGGAAGGTCCACCACGACAAAAAAAATAAAAGTTGTATATCTAACGTATTTACGGGCCGATTTGTCTGCTTTTTAAAATATATACTGGCTATGTAAGTAGAATCATCTTTGCATAAAATGGTCTTCCTAGGTGGTGCCAAGGTCGAGATATTTCGAAAAACCGTATTTATGGTCTAATTTGGTTCGAATTTGGCGTATGTGGTTGAAACATAATAGATCATAGATTTCTGATAAATTGACCCTGAATTGGCGCTGAAGTCAAAATATAAAGTATATTCTACATAAAATACATGTTTTATTTGCGTTAAAAATTCATTTAAAAGCAATATTAACAAAAATATAACGATGGAAATTTATGTCACGTGACGCCACGTCACGTCACGTTTCACACTTGGGGTTGTAAAAGAGAATTGAAACAATTTGCATTAATTCAAAAAACTCTAAAAACAACTAGAATTGCTCCAAATCATATTAAAATAAGTTTCATGAAAATAGCCATCCACAATTCGCAGAGTTTTGCGATTTTGTAAGAAAAGAAAAAATCAACTTCCATTTTTTGTCACGTAACGACACTCTCTTTAAATGCTTATATTTCAGGACCAAGCAGTTCGATTGATTTCATTTTTCGGTTAAATATATAATAAATGGTATCAGTTTATTTGAAAAAAGATTTAATTTTAGATAGTACTCCATATGTTTTGAAATTGTAGACATTATCGATGGTAAAAATTAAAAAAATTAAGATAAATATGGTTTTTTTTTTAATTTACCAGATAAAAAATCCCAACAAGCCTAGCCCGACAATGGATTCTTGTAAACTATTTAAAGGCCTATATATTATCTTCACAGATCATGTTCGATCTTTGAAATCGAATCAAAAAATAGTCATTCAAGACCTCATAAATCTACAAAATCCTATTTTTTGACCTAAATTGACAGGTCGCGACCTGTAAATGACCTTTAAAAAATCTATAAAAATAGGCAAAAATATTTCTCATAAAAACGAACAAAATTAGGGTGTAGGGTTTTGAAATTTCCAAATGGGCACGCCAATATATATATTACTTTTCATATCTTCTCAAGTATATTACATGCCCCCACGTTTCTCATTTTCTATCTAACAAATTGTTTTGCCTCATTGCGTAAATCTTAAATTAGGCTGAATTGTACGACTGGACAATATTGGCATTGCCTACTGTCGTGCTAATATATGTAAACGACGAAAATCGTCGAAAACTGTGCATTGGCGCCAAGTGTTTCCGTTTTAATACACTAGGCGAGTGAAAGTTGTAAGCAATGACATGATTTACGATTTGACTCTCGAAAAACGACTTGCATTCGACACGACTCTCGCAATGAGGCTGAATGACTCTTGCTAAAATTTTAAAAGCAAAGGTTATCGAAACAAATTCTGTGGGACTACGAAAAATTATTTTAGGAAATCAATTTATATTTTAAATTTCATTGTCATCGTGATTGGAAGCATGCTCAAAGTTTCAAGTTTCTAGCTTTTTCGGGAAGTTAGGTTAAAATCATTGATTCATCTGGCAATCTTTTTAACCATAATTTCTAACTAAAAATAGTTATGATAATGAACGTGGTTTAAATCCATATAAAGAAAGATTATCCTAGGAATATATAGTATTGAATACATTTTATCACCTCTGTAACGCATAATTTTTCAATTATCATCTGCAGGTCCTGAAGGATGTAATTTATTCATCTATCACCTACCACAAGAATTCACCGATACTGATTTGGCATCAACTTTTCTTCCATTCGGCAATGTCATTTCCGCCAAAGTTTTCATAGATAAGCAAACCAATCTTTCCAAATGTTTCGGTTTTGTATCTTTCGATAACCCGGAATCAGCGCAAGTGGCCATCAAAGCAATGAATGGTTTTCAAGTGGGCACTAAGCGTTTGAAGGTGCAGTTGAAGAAACCCAAGGACGCTTCGAAGCCTTACTAGGATAGGTACCCAGTACGTGGACGTAAATCACTGGGATAGTAAAATTACGACCACTTACTAATGAAACAACAAACTAAAAATTAAATATAAGAGAGGGTAATGATAACTTTTTGAACTAACTGAATTGAAATTGACTGTGCAGCATAAAACAAATGTTTACCTATTAGCGCTGTACTGCAACAAATTTAAATGCATAAACTCATCCACACAATTATATTTTTTATAAGTACTGTACGTATACACTTGTATATGCTTGAATTTGTTTTTGAATTAATGTGTATTTTTGGAAGCTTAGCTCTGTTTGAAAATAATTCTTGCTCAATCTTAACATACTTAAATACATATATTTGCTTACAAAGCATATCTTAACAAGATAAAGTTAAATGAATTTTATGTTGAATTTTTAATATACATAAAGCTTAGTATACAGCTCTCAATAATAATCTGAAGCAATATTTCTCATTATTTTTGTGTTGCCTGAAAAAGTACTTTGCCGCTGCTGTAAATTTTCTTGGCGAAATAAATTTAAGTGTATTTTTCCAAAGTACGTTTCGAAATTTAGCTACCCTTCAAACACATTTTTTCAGAACATAGTTTGTTTTTAAAATGAGGTTAAATTTTAAAACCTAAAATGGCCCTAAAAGCATATTTTTCTTAAGAGCTCTAAGCTGATTTATGAAATTTTGATAAAAGAAATTTCGTATTTCTTGGAAACGTTTTGCTTACTTTTGGATAGATTTTAAGTTATCTGTAGGCATAGGTGGTTTGAAGTTTTCAGTAACCTGAATTGTTGTTAACTTATCAATTTGAACCAATATAATAATTTTACGAAGCTGAATTAAAATGTTGTCCGTGGCCTTTGAGCCAAAAGGCTCCAAATGTGTAGCCTTTTTTAGTAATACATACTTAAATGTATGGGTTCAGCGAAATTTGATTTTGTCACATTTGATACAGATAAAAATAAATTTTTAATTGTGTGGAAGTAAGACAAATTCAACATCCACGTTTTATAATTTTCGGGCAAGGCCTCAACATGAATGGAAATTACTATCGAAAAACCTATAAACAAAACACTTAAACAAAATTTTGTGGTATAAATATTTGAGCATGCTATTGATTGTTTAATTATATATTGTATTTAGTTTCAGAAATCTTATTAACTATATATGTATGTATATGTATATAATTAGTTTGAACCAAAAGACATTTTTTATTAAACTAAATGATAATTTATTTTCAAATAAATACATTTTAAAAACTTGAAACAATAAAAATATTGTATATGAATATTGCATATACTGCATTTGTTAAAAGCCCCTAGTTTGATGAAATTGTTAGTTTTTGTTTCAAATTAAGATATTTCTGGAATTGGTAAATTTAGGCCATTATTGTTTTTTAATTTTTTAATATGGACAATCTAACATACATAGAAAATATCTTGCAGAGAAGAATACATAGTTCATTGGCTTTATAATTATAATTAATAAATAGATAGATTGCGATAAATAGATTGCGTATATGTATAGTAAATCGAGAAACTATCTAAATTTAAGTGGCGGTAGAAAATATTCTCTCTGCACTAACGAAAAGTAGAAATAGGTACACTGGCTGTTAAAAGTTGGAAATTAGTAGATATGCACTACTCCACGACAAATTTATTTCTCCGTGGGATATTTGCATACAAATGTTTACACACATTTTATAAAAACCTATTTACGTCTTACACATTTTAATTGTACCACTGCTTACGGTTGTATGTATTTAGTCAAATGTTTCTTTCTTTTTATATAAATACATATCCATATATAAACTCCAAGCGTATGTTCATACATACACACATTTACTAGTAAGGTACTCCGTACATTACGAGCCTAATCATAGCAAAGTAAATAAGCCTTTCATCATGCCGGAACAAATATGTATATGACCACTCGACTTCTGCACAATTTTTTACTATGCTATATTAACCGTACACTTGCTCTGACCTTCTTCAGTCAACTATACAAGACTAAACACAATTAGTGTCAATAAAATTTTATTACAAATAAAATAAATACAAATGTAAACAACACAAATTCAAAACGCCTATACTAGTACACACACTGCTATGATAAGGCGCGTAATGTACGGAGTGACTAAAAGCGCAGTTACCCACGGACGTAAAAACGGAGAAGGTGTCAGCTGACACGATCTATCTTATGGCATCAGCGTGTTAACAAAAACTCACCACCGCATGACCGCTACGACGTTGCTTCTCTCTCTTTCTATCAACAGCACACTTGATATCTTTCTACGTACGTACGCTACGCTACGGACACGTTCGTTGGTAACCGCGCTCTAAGCCCCTTTTGAATATCTTTCAACCGCTTTGTTACTGCATTATTTTCATAAATATGGTTGATGAATTTTTTGTTATTTGTGAAGTAAATTACGCGCTTTTAATTATTGTATTTTAAATAAAATAAAGCTATGTTCTGTTTGAAATTTCTGTAAATTCGTCTGTTTTTATTTATTCTGCGCTCTTTTACTTTTTGTTCCAAGTCAAAACATAATACATATTTATACGTAAACCAGCAGACCCGGCGAATTTCGTCCCGCCCAAAATTAATTTTTTATTGAAAAATTTCAATTCAACGTGTTATTGTCAGAGAAAGTAGAGAATTTCGTTTACTTGGGAACCAGCATTAACACCGATAATAATGTCAACATGCAAATCCAACGCAGAATCACTCTTGCCAACAAGTGCTACTTTGGACTGAGTAGGCAATTCAGCAGTAAAGTCCTCTTTCGACGTACCAAAACCACACTCTATAAGTCACTCATCATGCCCGTGCTGGTGGAGAAGGACTTGGCTTCACTTGGCGTTTCCAATTGGCGTCAGTTGGCACAGAAGAGAAATGACTGGCGTGCTTTGCTGAACTAGGCCAAAATCACTTAGGCGGTTACAGCTAGGAATGAGATAAAATGTTTGCAGTCGTGACAGATAACGGAGGAAACATCGTGAGAGCTACAATTGATACATTTGGTGAGACTAAATATCTTAGCTGTTTGGCACATAGCGTTAATCTTGTCATGCAGTCAGTGTTGAATGCAATCGAAGCCGTTAAGAATTTAATCGCCAAGATTAAGAAGATTGTAATGTTCTTTGGTCAGTCAAATACAGCGGTCTATAAGCTTCGTGAAGCTCAGGCCAAGGATGAGTACCAACTGTGCTTAATCCAGGATTGTCCTACACGATGGAACTCAACTTTCGATATGATCCAACGTTTCCTAGTCCTGCTTTATGCTGTCACTTGTACACTCCTCAGTCTGGATGGATCACCGCAGATGATATTTCCAGCTGAGGTGAACTTATTAAAAGAACTAGTGATTCTTTTAAAACCAGCCAAAGAGGTCACCCTAAGTATTAGTGGAGAGAAGTATGCTACTGGGAACAAAGTATTAATGCTCATCGACTGGTTTCGTACTGAAGTGAAGAAGCTGCAGCCAATTTCCGACGTAGGAAAGGTGGTTAAAACTTCGCTTATGTCGGAGATTAAGAAGAGGCTTGGATGCTATGAGACAATAAGATTCCAATCGTTAATCGGAGTTGCAGCTTTATTTGATCCCCGTTTCAAGCGTTCGTACTTTCCAAACGATTTGTATGACGCACAAGTATTAAATCTAGTCAGTGGTCACATACACGATTTGAAGCAACCCAATTCACAGAAGAGAAAGACTGAAAATCTTCAAGCAGATTGTTCTAACTCGACATCGATCTCAAACAATATATAGGTAATCCCAATCACAAATTAACAACTGGCTTCGAAATATTGTTGCCTACTGGGAAGTTCCGTGCCTTCTGAGCGATTATTCTCAGCAGCTGGTCGTATTACGGATGATAGGAGTCGCCTAACGCCTCAGCATTTATCCAAAGTATTATTCCTGAAATCCCTTGAGTTTGCCGACTGCCATTTGGATTGACAAATTTTTCATATGCATTTTTTCCAAATATTAAATGATATTAAACATAAAATGTAGTGGTACCCTATTGTGGAGACTGATAGGAGATGTCCTGGTAAGTTGTTTGAAGATGAAAAGAATTTTATGTGCTTTGAGATTGTTCTACTGCACTGTCTTCAATGGACAAATATTGTCTGAACAGACTTTTGTATTATTGAATACATAATTAAAAAGTGGTATTCTTTTATAATATAGGATATGTCCAATGATAGTGATGTAACGTTACTGTTCTGTCTTACACAGATCGAAAGGATATATTGAAAGTAGAAAGTCTACGATAAGAAAAGTATTTTCATAATCAATTATATAAATAGGCAATCATTTTTCCTTTACACCCCTTTTACGGCTAAACTGTACTTCTAAGGTATAAACAGTTATATATCATTAGAAAGGTATTTTGATGCTTATGTGCAGGCAATTTTTAAAATTTCAAATTAGTTTAAAATAGAGCGAAAAAATCAATTCAAAAGTCCCACCAATACCAATGCCATACATGTACATGGTTGGGGCGGAAATGCCTCCTAAATGTATGCTTTAATATTGATAATGAATTAAAGAAACGTGCTAAGCAGCAGTTTAGGAATAAGATGTATGTATGTATGTACATGAATAGATTGGCCTCAAACAAGGATGAAGATAATTTTGAGTATGGAGAAGAAGAAAGGGATAAATACAGAAATTAAAATAAAAGTAAATCTTCATCTTCATCTTCATCTTCATCTTCATCTTCATCTTCATCTTCATCTTCATCTTCATCTTCATCTTCATCTTCACCTTCATCTTCATCTTCATCTTCATCTTC